GGCGGTGAGTGCTCTCCAGGAGCCTATCCGGTGCCCAGCGTCCGGGGGTAGAGTGGGGCGAGGCTGTGGGCGCCGAGGGCCTCGCCCCCGGGACTCGGACACCTGTCTTGGGGGAAGGGCTGCCTCGGTTTTCCCAGGGGGAAGTCCAGTAGCTGGGAAGCAGGAGGAAAGGGTTAAGGTTGGAGAACCCCTTGGCGGGTTGTGGCTACAGAAGATGAGAAGGCTTGGGCTGAACTTCCAGGCCTCAGGAGCCTTTGCGGTCTGAGGAGAAGCTGTGACTTGGGGGTCGTGGGGCTGTGGAGGGAGAGACAGCAGGATAAGCCCTAGTCTGAGAATGAGGAGCCCGGGCCTCACGTCTCAGAGGCGACCTCTCTTTTTGGACTTCCTCTCTGTGGGTCTCAGTTTCCCCATCTTCAACATGCCAGTGATTGGGTGGGCGTGAGATGCTGCCGGTTGATCCCGTCTGCTCTCCTGTACCTCTTAGGGGAGTCTCCTGCCCATCCCCCCTTGGTGGGTGTGAGACCCAAGTTCAAGTCCCTCCCTTCCCAGACAGGCCCACCCCAGCACCTGCAGTGCCGCATCCTCCAGGGTGCTCTTCCTCCCCTCTGCTTCTCAGGTTGTTGGGGCAGCCATCTGGTTCTACCTGCATTCCAACAAGTGGAAAAGCCCTCCCCTCTAAATCCCCCCAGGAGGGTGTCTTGCAGCTGGAGGAGGGCTGGAGGATGGACCCCTGCTTCCGAGTTTGCTCTGACTCCTCTTGCTCTTTCTGAGTCCATAGGCTCCCTGCCCTTGGACTTGGTTTCCTCATAAGTTGCAACCTGGCCCCTCCAGGGTCCTTGTTCCACAGAGGGGAAAAGCCTACCCTGTCATCCCTCCCCAGACTCCTTGGTGAAGACCAGAGCGACCAACCCCTGCCTCTAGATTCCTGTCCCGATCACTCAGCTGTGGGGCTGCCAGGGCCTCTGAGCGTTTTGGTCACTCAAGGCCCTTTGCCTCTGCACACTGGGCTCTGAGGCCAGAAGCAACCCCTCTAGCCCACCTCCCTCCCACCCAGTGCAGAACCTCTCTGTGGGTGGCTGTGCTGATGGCAGGGAGCTTGCTACTGATGGGGCAGTCGGGATCCTGAGGCTCTGGTCTCCTTTGGCCGCAGGTTCCAGAATTGCCCCGGAGCCATGCATAGCACATCCATTCTTTCCTGAGACGCTGGGGACAGGGCAATGGAAAACTCAGATGCAACTCCTGCCCTCGTGGAGTGCACATTCTAGAAAGGAACAGACTGCAGTGAAGTAAGTAAGCATGTGGCGTGTCAGGTGCTGAGAAGGACCATGGAGTAAACGAAAGCAGGGAAGGGGGTGGGACGCTGGGGCTGGGTATTGCGACGCCATGCTGCACAGAGAAGGCTTCCCTGAGATGGTGACCACCGAGCAGTCTTAAGGAAACGAGGGGTGAACCATGTGAGTATGGGGGGAGAAGGGAGGCTGAGGTTTTCACTCTCAGTGCTGTGGGAGCCACTAGAGCATTGTGACTTGGGGGCTAGGAGGCTCATCTCGCTGTGGGGTGGAGAACAGACTGTTGTGAGGTGAGGGCATTCATGGGGGCAGTCAGGGGATCACTTCTGTGATGCTGGGGAGAGGCTATGGGGTCTCATGCGTGGCAAGGAGGTCATGAACAAATCTCAGGCTTTCAGATTTGGGGTAACTTTGAAGGCTGGGCCGATAGGGTTTGGAGTATGAGAGAAAGGCGAACTCTGAGGTTTGGGGTCTGAGTATCTGGGAATTTGAAGATACCATTAACTGAGATGGGAGCTGTTAAGTGGAGGAGGTTGGAGTTTGGTTTTGGGCTTGTCAAGACACATGTTAGGCATCCACGATGAACCAGCAGTTGGAGAAGGCTGGGGGTTGGAATTGGAAGTAGAATGTGGGGCGTCGACACCATAGAGCTGGCGTTTAAAGCCCCAAGAGCAGGTGGGCTCTCTTAAGGCAGGATGCTCTGGAGAAAGGGTCCAGGTTTCGAGTGCTGGTGCCCTGGGATTAGGAAAGTTCTCCAAGGAGGAAGGAGGGAGACATGACGACCAGTCTGCTGGCAGAGCGGGCGCGAGAGGGCAAGGCGTTGCGCAATTGGAGGTCCCTGGTGACTGTGAGCAGTGCGGTCACACTGGAGTTGGGTGGGGGAACCTCCTGGAGGAAATGGGAGGAGACAGGAGGGAGACGGCAACACTGGCACCAGGCAAGAGGCCTGCTGTGCATGGGCAGAGCCAGGGATCAGCCAAGAAGACAGCCGCGGGTGGGGGGTGTTTGGGAGGGTCTCCTCTACAATGGAGGAGCTGCAGTGCATGTGTGCATTGGGAGAGCTGGCCTCTCAGAGAGAGAGGCTCGGGGAGGGGGTGAGAATGGAGGCTGACTGAGGCGGTATGTGATTCAGGGCCCCAAGTGGCTTGACCCAGCCAGGACCCGGGACAGCTGGAAGTGGGGCTTTCCTGGGGCTGCCTTCCTCCCCTGTCTGCAGGGGCCGGTGGACTGAGATTTCAGCACTCAGGCCAAGCAATGGCTGTTGGCCCCAGGGGACCAGGCTGACTGTGGTCACAGGAAGGGAGGAGATGTCAGGGCTCGAAGATAAGGAGGGCCCACGTGGGTCACCCCTCACCCCTTTCTTCCAACAAGGAAGTATCCCTTTCTTTGCTGGGCCTCATCTTGGGGAAGATGATGATGTCTTTGAAGTTGTAATAACTAAAGTAGAGAAGAAAAGGCAGTGGAGCTGTACTGGTATATTCAGCCTGAAGAGGGAAGGTCCTTCCAGGTGGTAATGGGGCAGGAGCTAAGGTTTTAGGGACAGTTTTAAATGAAATAGATGATGAGTGAACATTTGTTTCTCCCTCTCCCAATTTAAACTGAAGCGGGAGAAACCTAAGCTAGACATAATGAGGAACTTCCTGCACTAGTAGACTTCCTGAGTTGGTTACTGAGAACAGCTCCAAAGCCAGATCCTCCTCCCCAGATGTTTAATGAGACAGGGCATTGCCTACTCAGAGATAGGAGACTGGCTGAATTGGACCTCAGGGAGTCTCTCTGCTCTGAGGTTTCTGGAAGAAGGCCAGGGCAGAGAAGTAACTTCTGGTGGGAGGTCAGAGTACTGAGTCTCATGGCTTGGGCCTGCCTCTCCTTCCCTGTGTCCACAGAGCCCTGATGTCACGAGCTTGGGTGTGTTTGGCTCAAGTATCTGTCAGGCTGCCCAGACTTGGCATGTTTGGAAAGGGCCCCTATTTCTTGCAGCCTGTTCCCTTGTGGGTGAGCACGCCTATGGGTGTGCCTCATGTTCCAGTGGGGCCTTCCAGTCAGGTCCTGGTGGATGCATACATAAGGCTTTGTGCCAGAACTGCCAAGAATTACCTTGTTCTGGTCGGCTGGTTGGCCAACTCTGGCTTCCGGCTCTTCCTTTGGGATTTCCCCCAGAGGCGGGGTCTGTGGTCGGATCCAGGCCTGCCCGTCCTGTGCCCCTGGGCCTTTGGCTTCTGCTCAAGGCCTGCCCACAGCTGGCTTGGCCATGCCTGCCCCCCAAGGCCTGATGGGCTTTTATGGGGGAAGAGGGAGGTCCCGGCTCTCCAGCAAGGAGGAAGCAGCAGGTGTTGAGTCTCTCCTCGGGTATTCTCTGGGTAAGGGGGCAGGCGTCATCCTAGCTCAGCTTAGCTGTCAACCTTCTTTCATTCCTGGCTATGCACGTGCTGAGTGCTGACCCCATTGGGCGGCTTTCTGAGGGAGGGGGTTGGGTGGTTATTTCCCTGGGACCTGGGCAGGGTGGCGGTGGGGCCTTTTGCATCCCTGACTAGTGCTTCCACAGCTGAGAATCACTCTGGTCAGGCCCAGAGCTCACTCCACCCCTCCTGTTCCCTCTTCTTCCGCTCCCCCCACCCTCGGCTCCTCTGAGTATAGGTGGACACGGGGAGGAGACTTGCATGGCTGGAGGAAATTATTTTAGTTCCTGGTTTACAGTGGCCTCTGCAGTGAGGACACCCTCCCTCCCAAGCGACCAGACAGGGAACCTTGCTGCCTCAGTTTCTCCATCTGGCCTGCACAGGGCCGCCCCCTGCCTGTTGGCAGCACCCTGAGGGTTGGTACCTTTTCCTTTGTTCACCTTGGTGGCTGTGTGACCGTGGCCCAGGGTGTTCCCTCGGGAGTTGCTGAATTTCTGAGTGTTCCCACAATGTCTCCACCCGGCCTAGGGCTAAGCAAGCACAGGGTGCCAGGATAAGTAAGACCTAGCCCCAGCGAGGCCAAGCAGGGAGCGAGACACAGAGACAGCGACAGGACAGGGGTAGAGTCCCTGGACCTCTGGGGATCCACTCCCAAGCGTCTGGGAATGTCCCTGTTATAAAAAGAAGCTGACAGCCTTCCTCATTTTCCATGCTTTCACCCTTTTACTTTCGCTTCCTCTGGCCCCACACCAGCCCCTGTGCCGGGACCCCACGATGGTCGCAGAACTCACCATGTTGGGAAATTTTCTCTGCTGCCCAGGGGCCCTCCCAGGAGCTTCAAGCCCCTGGAGGCTGCCTCCCCTCCGGCTCCCAAAGCCCCGAGCAGGCCATGGCAGCAGTGGGGTGGCAGCATTCACTGTATGGTATGGTGTGGTGTTGAGGGTGTGGGAGGAGATGAGGCCCCAGGGCACGTGGTGGGGGGCGGCAACAGGACAAGGTGCCAGAAAGCTCTGAAATGACTTAGTCTGCACCAGGATTTTCTGACTTTCCTAGATTGGGATCTTCATGGCAATGCTCTGGGTCTGCCCCTTGGGGTCGCATATGTTAGGTCCCCGGACCTAGACACAAGGAACCCAGATACAGGGGATTCTGGAGCCGTGTTGCTCATGTGAAAATCCTGGCTCCATCTGTTGAGCTATGACATGTTGTATGCAGACGTAGCCTCTCTGTACCTCAGTGTTTTCACCTGTAAAATGGGCTGGTCATAGCACTGCTTCAGAGTGGTTGGGAAGGTTAAGTGAACTCACACAGGAAAGCACTTAGAGTGGTGCCTAGTACGTCGTATATGCTTACTAAATATTAGCCATTGCTGAAACTGCTGTGGCCCAAATCCAGCTAGTATGGAAGTACCCTCTCACCCTGCCTTAAAAGGAACCAATTCCATGATCCCTTGGGAGTCATTGTTCCTAATATCAGCTCAAGCTTTGTTAAACTTTATCAGCTAGAGATCAAACGTGAATATGGGGGTCGGGGATCTTGATTTAATTATTGGTTGCTTCAAACTGTCTGTAGGACCATGAGACATTTCTTGCCTTCTCTAGGCCTTGGAGTGCACATCCGTATAACGGGGAGCTTAGATTGGTTACTGTCTGAGGGTAGAACCATGGCTGACTGATTCTGTGGGGGCTGACTTTCCCTCTCTGGCTCTTGGGGAAGTCCTGTGCTGACCTTGTTCTCCTCCTCAGGTTGTGAAATGTGCTCACAGGAGGCTTTTCAGGCACAGAGGAGCCATCTGGTGGGACTGCTGGTCTCAAGGTCCCTGGAGGGCTTCGAGAGCATCCTGGACTGGCTGCTGTCCTGGGAAGTCCTCTCTTGGGAGGACTATGAGGGCCTCCGCCTCCTGGGCCAGCCTCTCTCCCACTCAGCCAGGTACCTCCTGGACACAGTTTGGAATAAGGGCGCTTGGGGCTGTCAGAAGCTCATCTTGGCTATCCAAGAGGCCCAGGCCGACAGCCAGTGCCCCGAGCTGCAGGGCTATTGGGACCCCCACACTCTCCACCCAGCCCAGGACCTGCAGAGCCACCGGCCAGCCATCATCAGGAGACTCTACGGCCACGTGGAGGGCGTGCTAGACCTGGCCCGGGAGCGGGGTTTCGTCAGCCAATACGAGTGTGATGAAATCAGGTTGCCGATCTTCACGTCATCCCAGAGGGTAAGGCACTCCCTTGTGCACCACAAACTCCACAGGAAGAAGGTGCTTAGTCACAAGGACTGATTTGTTCTCATGAAATCAGCCCTATGGGATAACTTGGTTCGTGGGATTCCCCCTAAAAGGTACCCAGGCAGGAAAACGTTGCTCTTGGTTATTGGCAATATACCACATCTGATGAAAGGAGACATTGTGTGGTGGCCAGGGGCTTGGGTTCTGGAGCCAGAAGGATGCAGGTTCAAGGTCAGCTCCGTGTGACCTCAGGCTTTCTTATGGAGCCTCTCCATCCTTAATCTCTCCTGTCTCAGTTTCCTTATCTGTAAAACACTGGTCGTAGTCATACTGTCCATAGTCATACTGTACCTATTGGTAAGGCTCTTGGGAGGATTCAGTGAGTTAATTGGTGAAACACTGAGAATTGTGTCTGGTACACAGTGAGCACCCATTAATTATACCACTGGTGACTGTAATCCCAGCATTTTGGGAGACTGAGGCAAGAAGATTGCCTGAGCCCAGGAGTTCAAGACCAGCATTGGAAACATGATGAGGCCTTGTCTCTACAATAAATAAAAAAAATTAGCAGAGTGTAGTGATACATACCTGTAGTCCCAGCTACTTGGGAGCCCGAGGCAGGAGGATAGCCTGAGTCCAGCAGGTCAAGGCTGTTGGACTCAGGCTACAGCCATTATTATGCTACTGCACTCCAGCATGCTGTGGTCCCCTCTAGGTAAAAGAGTGAGACCCGGACTTTAAAAAAATTACCACTGACTGCTGTTATTCCTGTTATGAGCAACACTTTTCATTTGTACAGTTTCATTGCTGTTTTAAATTAACTGCTCAACAGATCATAACACTTCATAATATTAAGATTCTAGTAATTGATATAACATATTGCATACTAATATAGTTTAAATGGTCACCTAAGATTTCTAACATAAAATTGCATAAGACCACAGACATTCAGAGCTGGGATATAACTGCCCCTGAGAATGTAATGATTCAACAGAGACCACAAAGATAGAAAACTATCTATTGAGTACTTTTATTCTTTTATTTGCTTCCCCATGGTGATCCTCAGGGCTCCTGGGAGGCAGGTGGATTGATAGACTGGGAAATTGAGGCCGAGCAAAGTGGTTTGAATAAGCTCACAGTAGTTAATGAGAGGGCTAGTGCTAGACCTAGGGACTTGACTCACTCATTTATTATTCATTTATTCATTCATTTATTTAGTCAGAATTTATTAGATGCTTCTACATGCCGGGCTCTGTCTTAAAGCTTGTTGTGTTCAGAGTGTTTTGCACATAGTAGGTACGGATAAACACTTGTTGATAAAAATAAATGAATTACTGAATGAATGAATATGTTGAAATTGTGGTGTTTGGGGACTTTCTAGGTTTTATTTTTGTCTATTTAAAAAGCCATATTTGATGTCCAAGTGAGTTTTAGAATCCAGCTCTCCCTAAGCCTAGAATGAGATGGATTAAATAAACCAGTCTGTCTTCGAGGGTGACTTAGAGCTGGCTGAAGGTGGCTGAGTATTTATAGAGCAGACATGCTGTGGTCCCCTCTGATTAGTACACATGAAACTTACAATTATACCCTGAGCACCACATCCTTGAGCCTGGCTCCAAGAACATTACAGAAGATATTTTAGTTATTGTACCTATTTTGGTGTCCGTTACAATCTGTTAGGGGGATTGAATCATTCCACCTGAGAAGTTACAAGATTGTGTCTTGTAATCTTTGATGAAATGTTAAGTAGTATGGTCTGATGTGGATGCTCTGAGGGCTTTGGAGAAAGTAGTCTGGTTTAGTCCTTAGGGCCCAGAGGAGACAGAGTATAAATAGAGGAGGTATTTGGATTGGCAAAGAAAAGAAAATGGGATCACTTAGAGGTTAAGGGAGAAATAATGATGGAAATCAGAAAATATTCAGAGCCAAACAATAATGAATGTTACTTGCCAAAATCTATGGGATGCAGCTAAAGCAGAACATAGAGGGAAATTTATAAGATTATATACTTAGATTAAGAAAGAAGGAAAGCTGAATTTTAATGAGCTGAGAATTTATCTTAAGAAAGGGCTACATTGGCAGCAAAAGCAAACATTGAGGCCAAGTGGGTGGAAGGGATGGGGAACAGCAGATCCAGGGCCTGAAGGAGGGCACAAGGGACCTGCACTGCCTGCATCTGAGTTTTAGAATCCAGCTCTCCCTGAGCCTTCTTTGAGCTCTGGCATCCTGTGATTCTCTGGGTGGACTTGCCTCAGTGGCTGAATTTCTAACTTCATTTGGGTGGCACTTGTGACATGTTCCTCCAGTTGGCCTTCTAGTGTCCTATAAAAGGTTGGTTACTGATTGCAGGTTGGGGAATAAAAAATGCTGTGGAGTGAAACAAAATGTAAGTTAAAGAATTAAGTTCCTAAAATACCCATTGCTACTATCGATGGAGTGAGCGCCTGCTGTGTGCCAGGCACCGTACTCAGCCCTTTCCCTGTATTGTCTCACGGAAGCCCCACTGCATCCTTCCAAGGGTGTGGTGTGACTACGCTGTTTCCTAACAATGAAGAAACTGCCCAAATCACCCATCTGGGAAGTGGCCCAGCTAGAATTTGAATCCAAGCCTGTTTTTTTTTCTCCAAAGCGCATGCTATTCTCTGTCTGTCATAAAACGTGGGGGCTTTGTGTGGTAAACTTGCTCAGTTGGGCATAGCAGTTGTTAGGAAACCTGAGGCTGGTAACACCAGCTGTAACACCAGCTGTCCGTCTGACTCATGCAACTGCTGAAGTTGATAGGGCTGAGGTGTCAGACGGTGCTCTCTCTGAATTGCTTGGTTTCTATCACAATATTAACTTAAACATTTTAAAACTGGGAAATGTACTGTGCCTATAGAAGAGTGTGTACATGTACAATGTAAGTTAAATGCAGTATCTTTTTGTACTTAAGCATTATAATGATATTTGGTTTTGTTTGGTGGTTTTTCACCCTCCATGAACTTTTTTACAAGTTGCTTTCCTCTTCCCCCACTTGTTTGGCTTCTCTACCCTTATTAAATACTTTCTTTGGGCATGTGATAATCCTTGTTGTCTTTTTCATGCTCGAGATAGAGGGCTTTAAAACTTACTAAACATGTGGGTATAAACACGTTCCCGTCACTCAGGTTAAGAAATAAGATGCTGCCAGTACCTGGGCCCTGTCTTCAATGGCCACTGCTAGAGGTAAACACTAGCCTTACTTTGTGTTCATCTTTCCTTTGCTTTTCTTTATAGCTTTAGCACCTTTTAGCATAAATATCCCAAACAATGTATTGTTTTATTTTTTAAAACTGAGTGGCAAGCCAAATATAGCTGTGTAAAGGAAGGGCAATATCGCCCTTTGATGGATGAAGGTTCTCAAGCCAGGGAGCTGGAACGGAGTCTCAGAGACATGGTCTGGCTCTGCCTTCCCTGGGAGTTGATATGGATCCTTCTGGGAAGTTGGTGGGCAAGAACATGAATGAGTCTTGGGAAATATAGGGCTCATTTCAGCTGGAGGATCTGGTAAGGCTAATGTGAGTCAGGTGTTGGATGTCTAGCAGGAACATGGCCAGAGAAAGCGGACGGCTCTGGATGTCTAGTTTCAACTTGCCAAGGGCTGTTCTAGCTCTCAGGAATAGGCCAAGGCTAAATGCTTCTGTGGGGGGTGAAGTCAATGTCCTAAGATGAGTGAGGCAGCAGGAGTTGAAAGAAGGAATGTCATTAGTCCATGGTGAAGTAAGTCAAATATAGATAAATATTAGAGTCAAGCTGGGAGATAACTGCCCTCAACGTGTCTGAGTCTTGAGTCACTGCCTTGTTATGTCTGAACTGGTGGCCCTCTGCCTGTAGGACACAGCCATCACCCTGAGATTTTCCTTTGTGGTCCTCCTGTGCTGGGTCTCCTGTACCTGAATACTATGTCTTCCTCTATCCTGGCTTACTCCATTTTGGTAGATCATATGCTCTGGTAAGTTCTTCAGAATGAGTATACGGAAGTTAAAATTTCTGGGTTCTCACATGTCTAATTCTCTCATACTGGATTGGTAGTTTGAGTATAAAATTCTGGATTGACCATCATTTTCTATCAGAATTTTGATGGTATTACTCCCTTATCACCTCTTTTCAATAGTGCTGCTAAGAATTCCAAAACCATTTTATAACTCTTTCTGGAAGCTTGTAAAGTTTTCTTATAGTCCTCAGCATTCTGAAATTTCACAATTATGTGCCCTGGTGTTCTTTCATTATTCTGGTCACCTACGAGGTACTTTGAATCTGGGAACTCACATATTTACATTCTGGGAAATTTTCTTAATTAGTTTATTGATGATTTCTTCTTCTTTATTTCTCTCATCACTTTTTACAGAACTATCACTTGGATGTTAGAACTCCTTGACTGATACCCTAATTTTGTTTTTTAATCAATATTTTTTATTATGATTTTGTGGGGTACAGTTAAGGGTTAGGTGTACAATTACGTTTCATTCAGGCACCTTGTTGATAAGAGGTGTTTCCCCATCCCCAGACAGATATTTGTGACTGTTAATTCCATCCCCTCCCCTCCCATAGTTTCCCAGTACCGTCAGTCATTTTCTTATAGTATTACATTGGATGTTCAAGGTCCATTATATGAGTGAGAACATGTGATGCTCGGATCTTTGTTTCTGTGAGAGGTCACTCAGTATTATAGACTCAGTTCCATCCAGGTTGCTGCGAAATTCATGATTTTGTTCTTTTTTATGGCTGCCTAGTATTCCATCGTGCATATGTACCACATTTTTTAAATCCAGTCCTCTTTTGATGGGCAGCATTGTTGTTTCCAGGTTCTTGCTATTGTGAACAA